ATCGGGTGCGAGCTCGATGCCGGTGGCAAAGGCGGTGAACTACATGTGCTGGTTTAGTGTGGGACTGTTTTTCAACCTGTACGTGTACAGGAGGTTCAGGGGGTGGTGGGCCCGGCACAATTATATCCTGTCCGGGGGTTTGGATGCCGGGGTTGCATTCATGGCCACCTTGTGTTATTTCACGCTGCAGTTTAATGGGATTGGTGGGCCGAGGTGGTGGGGACTGGCGGTGGACGATCACTGCCCGCTGGCAAAGTGCCCCACGGCAGCCGGTGTAAGGGTTGAAGGCTGCCCTGTTTTTCATTGAAATGAAGAATAGCAAAATGGAAGAGAAGTAATTTTTCACTTCTAGTAGTTAGTTACCTTGCGTTTTAATTCTCTATGATTTTTTTTTTTTTTTTTTCGGTTATGTATTAGAGACAACAAATAAATAGTTAAAAGTTTTTACCATATATAGCAAAAAAAGTTAAGAATATTGATCGTCCTCACTATCATCCTCATATTCAGTATCCGATTCTTCATCATTGGGCTTCATCAAAGTACTCATATCGAACGAGGAAGAATCTACCTCCATCTCCTCCACGTCGATCGAATCATAATCCACACGCTCCTCAAATTTCTCGTCCGAGCAGTTGAGAAGCCACGAGAGGGAACACTTCACCCCCTTGCGCGCAATAACTTTGTGCCTTGGCTTAACTGTAGACTCGAGGCCGTAAGTAAAATAAGCCGGAAAATTCACCAGATCATCCAATGGCCGACCCATTTCAGATGAAAAGTATTCGAAACTGAGTCTCATGATGTCCAGATTCAACGCCAGCACCTGCGGGCACCCCAAGACCATCTTCCTCACCTGATCGGACGAAAATTTGCACCCCTTCAGAAAATCCACATGCCTCACTACTGCTCGGTCACTCAGGCTCACGACCTGCGGCATTTTCTCAACAACCCTCCCAAAATCTTCTGGGCTCAGCTCGATAACAGAGGTAAAAAAGCCCCGTTGACTCTGAAGCTTCTTTTCCAGGTCAATCCCCATAATCTCGGGATACTGAGCAATCACACCAGCAATTGAACTTCGCCTGACATGATACTCCAAAAGAAGACTAACATTCGGTCTGACCCTCTCGTCAAGCCCAAAACCCAAAATGTGGGGCCGCTTCTCAATCAGCCTAGCCACAGCCAATTCTGGTATCCCCAAACTGCCCAAATACTCGACAAAAGGT